CAATGAAGATGCGCAGTCCAAACCTCACAGCCAACACGAACGTAGAAAGTTTAAAAAATTGCGGGGATGGACAACTTCCGACGTAAAACATATAAAAAAATTTAATAAAAAATGTTTCGGTCGGAGACCTTCTTCAGTTATTTACAACTTTTGAAATAAAAAAAGAGCATTAAATAGGATCGAAGTGCTAATGATTACGTAATTACAGATAACGACTAATGAACTGGTGCTAATAAAAAGATAGCAAAAAAACCTAATTACAAAGAAAGCAATGGAAAAAATACAAGAAACAAACCCTAAAAACTAAGAGATAACAATACTAAATATGTTAATATGAGTGGCGTAACCAATTGCAAAGAAGCAATGCGGCGAGCGTTGAAAAAGGGAAGGCCCACTTTTTACTACAACTGTGAACCGTAAGTATCATTTAAGGGCCCCTCCAGGGATTTTGTTGCTAATTTGCTCTTTCGGTTTACAGTTGTAAACCGTAATCATTACAGAAGGTCATTTACGGAAGGTCTCTGACCGAAACGTTTTTTATTAAATTTTTTTAATAGAACAAAAAAATTATCTAAGACTTGTGAATCTTGGGACATTCAGCAAGATAACATGCCTTTCAAATTACGTTATAAGTACATCCATTACCGAAAGATTTGCTCTCAAAAATCCGCTTACAATTTCCTCTTTCATTCGCTAGCGCTATACTTCTCGTTATAAGTTGGACAAAAAAGAAAGAAAGTTTCATTGTTTATTCTCATCACTTTTTCGCTGGATGATTGAAATATATAATAAGGAAAAATTCTACGTGTTATAACGTGTGGGAGGTACTAAAGGATCGTCTCGTCAATCTCCGTTTTAACTCCGGCTCCGTTTTTAACCCGTTCGTAAAAAATGTCAAAATTCCAGCAGAAGTTACTCTCAGTCCATAACTTGCGTGTTCTTCGCCAGTTCAGTTTGCAATCCTATCATCTACGCCATACGGAAGCGAGAGTTTCGAACCAGAGTAAAGAATTTGTTCAGGCGGGTCGGCATGGCGATTCATATCAGCTCTAACGAAAGTAGTTACCGAGTTGAAAGTGTGAGTGATCCACTTCGTCGACAATCGAACGTTTTCTTCTTGAAAAGAAGAATAGCACCACTCCAAAGTTCTTCAGGTTACCAATAGGGCTCTGAAAAATTTCTTTCTATCTTTCTATCTTTCTAAAATTTCTTTCTATCTTTCTATCGGAGCTGGTGCAATTTCTCAGAGATCTTGCCTTGGTCCGATTCTAGAGATGGAGATAAGTACAGAACTGCTCTTCAATGAAATTCTGACAGATTGAGTTAGAGGTTCTGCCAAGCCAAACTTCTATGTCCAAGATAGATGAGAGGGCTTTATGAAGCAGAAAACCCCAGCCTTTCTGTAGTTGTAAAATAGATCTAGATTTTTGAACAAAGAAAGTAACTTATCGAAGAACGCGTTGCGTTACTCTCAAAAAGTAAGTCAACTTTATATAACAGACGATATTTACGGAAACGTTAAAAGAGGGTTCCCTATCATGAATTTTTTTACGCGAAGCGTGATTGGACGATTTTTTTTCTCGTGGATCGTGATTTGAGTTTTTCTCTAATCGTGAATCGTGATTAAGGATGATAAAATCTTTTCATGTCAATGTCAACCATTTTTTTGTTATTGAAACGCGACTCGTTAATGAAGAACTGAATTAAACGTGATTCTTATACCATTTTGTTTTGTTCGATGAATTCCCGGCTACTTCATTGTTTTGAAAATTTACATATTGTTCTCCAACGGCTGTCGGGTTAGGTTTTGACCAAGGTTTTGACAGGACATGGACTTCACATTGATCGGTAAATGCCATAAAAAAAAATTGACCACTTATGGTCCTTGAAGAAATGAGACAAAACATTACGTCATCTTTTGTCATTTCTCACTGGTCAAGAGTAGAAAAAGGCAAAATATCAATCCGTAAATGTTTTTTTGTTTTAATGTGAAACATGATCGCCCCAAGTTTCGCGTGAATGTAAAAGAATTTTGGATATCACTCGTGACGCGCGTAAAGGCTAAATATTTTTACGTGACTGAGTGTTGTTGAGGAGCTAAGGGAACCCTCTCAAAACTGAAAATCATTTCAAGTAAAGGCAAGCAATTTGCGTGTCGATAACATCATGTTTCACTTCTCTTCATTGTAAAAAGAAAAAACGAATTTTCTACATTTGACCTACCTCTTGTTTGTTTTTGTTTAGGCGCATTTCGTTTCTGTGAAACCTAAATAAAAGTGATCACAACGATCAATCAGAGGAGAAACTGGCATTACGGGGAGCCAATGAGAGTTGAATGTAAAAGACATGTGATTGACAGAAAGCGCGGGAAAAAGTTCGGGATCAGGTCGCGAATGGTGTCGGGTCTGCATCTCATTGGTTGAGTTTGAGAATTTGGTACCAATAACAGAGCGAAATTTGAATCGTTCAAAGTCACACCTCGAATTCTTTTTTTCTTAATTCACATCGTCGGGCATGTGCGAGCTGGTTTTTCGTCACCGCTGTGCCATTCACTATTCCCCTTTCTCCGACAACTTTGCGTCACTTGAATTTCAAAAGTAAATGGCGAATGCGCGACAGTCACAAAGAAAATGTCATTTTTAAGACAAAATTACTGGGTACTAGTTTCTTTTCCCCCCTACTTTCTCTTACTATGAAAGCCTCTCTGGAGACATGATTAACAAGGGCACGAGATTTCCACAACGACAAATACAAGGTGCGAGAGAATGCGAGAACACAAGTTTAGTTGGGATAAAGTAGAAGGGAATGGCATGAAACATGGTTCATATGAATGTAAATACTCAATCTGCAAAATTTCACTCAAAAATAACCCTAACGGGAGATCCTCTTTTGTCTACATCACAGTTGCTGACGTTCGTAACGGGTAAAATTTACCGCCTTTGGTACCTTTTTACTACCACAAATGAATTATCGGTCGCTCTTAAAATAAGGGAAAACACTGAAATTGAATACTGTGAAAATTAAACGCCATTCTAAGTATTTCAGCCTCGGCAAACTTACAAAAATTTAGCTACAACTCATGCATCTCCGTTGACAACTGGGCACTTGCTCCAGTCTAGATAAAACCTTGCCCCTCTTAACAAGCTCTGTTTTCCATCCTACTTCAAGAGCTTTAGACTCTGTTGGGACCCTACACTTGAACCCATCTGAGTATTTTTGCACGAGGACCTTTTCTATGAAATGCAATTTTTCACCCTTTCATACTAAGTTCTAGGTATCAGTTCTCCACACTGTTTGCGACACATTTCTTGTGCTTTCCGAACTGAGAGTAAAGTGTTGAATCAAACATTTCCCCTCATTGATAGGGATACTTTCCATTAGCTTCCTGCTGGAAAATGAGTACCAGTAATTATTGTTGAGAGAGAAATTCTTTGGGTCATCCCTAAGCATCAAATGCTTAAAACTCTCAAGAATAACAAATGTGATCATACAGACGAAGGTGAGAATTCTATTGACATCGAGGTATACCATTCCATCAAAGAATCAAAACCAATGTCACACTGTTGTGTTTTATTGTGAATGGAACCCTTGCTTAATAAACAGCTACCCATAGCAGTCTTTAGGTAACAGCACCACCATTGGCTCCAACCTACCGTAATCAAGGATTAAAAAAAAACACTATGATCCCACTATTCTGGGTGCTGGTCGGCTCATACCTACCCAAAGACAGAAGCTTCCCTCTAGCACGAGTCAGTGTATATTTTTTTTAAAGTTTATACTGGCGATTTGTTAGATTGAAGCTGAGACTATATGGAATGTTAAATCACCATTTGATTAATTGAAATTCTCCACCAAACAGCAAAGCATTAGAGGGTTCCTTCCTCCATCTAGAAAAGAATACTTGCAATAATAGTAAAGACAGATTCTCTGGCTAGAGAAGGCAGACTTGGGCATCTCCTTCTCTATGGTGCTTTGACTCCAACAACTTTCTTGCCTCCCTAAAAAACAAACAGAAAGAAATTACTTTCAGTAGATCTTAATTTCTTGTCTTTTCCAGGGTTGTTGCTAACCACCGGCTGCCAGCAAAATTCAGCAGATGAAAAAGCAGCCATTACCAGCTGGATTTTTTGCTGGTGATTGCTTGATAAGGCACAAAGGGCACTTCTGAGGTTACAAACTTACAATCATTCACCACCTTAGAGACATTTGAAATTTTAGCCAGCAGGGTAATTTCTTAGCCAAAACCCTGTCTTTCATAATGCTGAAGTCAATTAGGCTTTCAAGAAATCTTCAATTATAGAATTTCTGTGCAAATGAAAATAACTTGGAAAAGAAAAGATTTTTTTTTTTAAGCCTTGCTGAGGTATAGAGCTTGCTTCCTTTAAATCTACCTCAGCCCTTTAACTCGCCAGATCTGATTGTTAATTCTCATCTCTCGCAGCTTCATAGTTCAAATTAAATTAGTCATGAGAATTTAGCATTAGATAAAGATGACACCTTCTCCCCGATAAGACTGAGCATTCTCATTACCTGTTTGCTGGATAATGTATGGATATTGTAGAGAGGAATTACAGGTTAATCACTTCTTGGAAGTTAAAAGGTTTATGTAAATCTCTTTGCACTTTAAAAGCCTATCTCCTCAATTTGTGATTTCATCTTTTAGGTGCAAGTTCAACATGCACCTGCTGAGTCATTGCATTCAAACTCTGATAACAATATCAGCATGATAGAATCATAAAAGTATGACATAATATTGTGGCAGAATTGTAAGAGCAACAGGAAACAAAACAACAATTCCCTTCTTAGTTACTTCTTAAATATTAAATGTAAAAAAAGTACCCAAACAAATTGAAACACGCAAACAATAACACCTTAGCACTGTCAAGTCACTGCTAACGACCCGCCTCATGTCTTCTTAATTGTTCTAATTTATCTTGACTTTCTTGGTAAAAATGAAATATGAATATAAAAATATTCAAAAAGTCTTGCTGCCAAAAATTTATAGAGGGAATTCCCTGTTCATTAAGGGTAGAGCACTGCAAATTTCCAATTTTTTATCAGAACCAAGAATGGTGGGATTATAATTTTAAATAAGGGTGTTTTGGCCTTACTAATACCTTTGAATAAAATAAAATGCATTTTATTCACCAAAGCTTAGCTTAGATACAAGGAAGCAAAGTTACTTCAGTAGTGATGGCTTAAAGAGTTATTGCCTTTAAAATCAGCTCAGTGTTACCTTTTTAAATTCCTCATCCTGTCGCTTCTCATAATGGCCAAAGTCATCAAAGATCGATGTCTGGTGCTTGTAAGAATGAATGATCTTCAGTACCTGTTTTCCTTTCTCAGGTGGCACCTCTTGTGTATCCCGGGAATTGGTAACAGGCTTGTTGTCATTGTTCTCCAAGCGAATGTGACGCAACGCATTGTTTGGCACGTCCTTCACATAGAACCATTTGACATCAAATTTGCCTTTCCACTTGTCCTGAGTCCAAATTCCAGTTTCAATCTCTATATCAACCTCTGATGTCATCATTGCAATTCCACAGAAATGGCCACTTCCATTCACACTGAAAAGCAGATAAATTGGAGCTTTACTGCTCTGCTGCTCTTTAAATGCATCGTTCAAGCGCCTGTTTCCATGCTCTGTGCTTGTCCACACGCTGTACTTGATTGAACGATGAATATCGTCCTCACTGTAACTTTTGATAATGAAAAAGCGGGCATTTTTCTGAAGGAGGCTAAATTCCTTTGGATTGTAGCAATTCTTGGATCTCAATTTATCAAGAATTGGAACAGATTCAGACAAATTAACTGGTGGATTTGAAGGTCCTGGATTTCCGGACATTCCTCCTGTATTCGGTCGCGGCCTAGTGCCACGGCCAATTGCAGGCTTGTTGGGACCAGATTTCGCTGCATTTCCCCATGCTCCAGATTCAACTTTAGAAGGCCCAACAGTTTGTTGTGTGGTTATCGGCGGAGGCAATTTTGGTTTCGGTGGAGGTAACTTTGCCTTTGGCTTAGCGGGTTGGCTTGCAATAGCAGCCCAAGACTTCGGTTTAGTCTCAGAAGGAGTTACAGTCGATGAACTAGTCACCTGAGACGACAACTTGGTTTGATCATTCAACCCTTCATTGCCCTTGTCATCTACACCCAGAGCCAAACTAGAGAGAGCATTTTCCACATTTCCTGCAGTACCAAATTCCTTTCCTTTCAAAGAGTCCAAATCAACTCCAATAGGATTCAAACCTCCGTGTTCTGATGTCGGCGGTGGCGGTGGTTGGTAAAAATTTGGCAACATTGCTGCACCCTGGGATTGTTCGCCCCATGAAATATCAGTCGTTGTTCCGGGAAAATAGAGTGCCGGCGGTCCTTGTGAATTATGGGTTAAACTGCTTAGATAAGCGTTTGTAGAAACGGCGACTCCTGCATTGTGATTAAACATCTGGTCTTGTAGTAGTTGTTCTCCGTTCCCAACTGCTCCGAAACCCGTCGAAGGAAAAAGCGTGTTAGGGGTAAGCGAAGGCACTCCGGTCGACCAGGTGCCGTCGCTGATTCCAGCCGCATTCAGATAAGGGAATGGCATCGGGGGCAATCCTGTGTTTGATCCTGTTGTTGTCGTAGGATAAAATGGCGGTAGATATGAGTCCGTTAATTGACTAGGCAAGTTCGTGTTGACTTGCTGAGAGTTCAACTGTTTCTCGGTGCCCTAAACACGAATTTATGATTATCGTGGTAAACCGATCCATCTTGAATGCCAATGACGTTATCGAAAGGATAGAGAAAAAAAGACACGGCAACAGTTAGTGTAAGTCCTTGACAAAATGAAAACAAGGTAAAAAGAAAACGGAGCGAGGAAAGTACGCCTGCAATGCAAACATCTGATTATTCTCACCTGTTTCGCTCCCGGATGGAGGTAGCGATCGATGTCTTCACCCGACACATTCTGTAATTCGCCATTTTTGTTCACGTACCCTGTAAAACATTCGAAACAGTGTTAGCTGATTGACTATCACACAAACTGGCTCTTTGCCGCTTAAATAACGCTGTAAAAAGGCATTGACGTACCTTTTCCGCCGTGATCCTTGGGTCGCTGCGCACACACGAGGAACACGCATTCAGGAATGCAGAGGAAATTAGAATCAAATTAGTCGGTGTTGCCGTTGGTCGCTAAGAAAACGGCTAAAAACGAATTGATTTAAACTTAAAACATACCTGATCGATAGTAGCTGACATTCCCTAAAAGAATACAATAGTCTCCAACACTATAATCTCCAAATAATAGTCTCTTCGTTTACCGTCGTTTAGATTATGAGGAAAGAGAACAAAAGAAAATGGCCGCTCCTTCAGTGGTTCGTCTGCGCGTGCTTTGCGTTACTTCACCAAATTTACGCAACTTGCCAATCAAATCTTCCAAATATGGTATCTCCCATAGAACTTTTCGGGTTTGATTCTAAACAAGATGGTGGATTACGGAACAGGAAGCCAGCATTGAAAAATTTTGTTGACATTCTCCAGCGTGATGGCGTTATTACAGGTTTGTTTTTGCCATTTTTGTGTTTCCATAATTACAAACCAAGACTTAAAAATCGAATTTTTTGTCTTGCAGTGGCGCCGATTCAATTTTTTCGACAAGGAGGTTCTGAAAGACCCCGGAACAACTCAGCCATTTACGGGTCTGAAGGTTGGTTCCTACTTGCAAACCAGGACTTAGATTACGTCCGTAAGAGTGTAATTTTATCCACATGAAATTCTGATTCCTTTCTTTGTTCTATAAATTCATAACTTACATCATGGACAAAAAAACTTCGAAGTGGTTTGCACAGTCACACCTCCCCTCTCCTCCCACGGGTGGTGGTGGTGGGGGGGGGGGTAACTTTGCTCCATCTCAAAAAAAATTTGTATCATTAGTTTTTACTCTATGAATTAATAGCAAATAACCAAGTACCACAAGGAAACTGATTGAGTGATTCCTACAATTTATCAAAAATGCAGAAATAGAAAGTGTCATAGCAAAATTATTTTCTTATTAGGTAGTTATTTTGTCCAAGATGGCGCATAGTTCTAATTATATGTCTGCTTTCACTCTGGAATGAGAAAGTGAAAGCCTCCAACGAAATGACAAGAAACTGCAAAAGGGTGTTTTTATAAAACTTTTGCAATTTGTTAACTGGGATATGTAAATCTTCTAGCCTTGAGTGCATTAATAATAATAATAATCTTTATTGAGGAAACTTCTTCACAAAAAGTGGTTTTTGAAAGAGACCTTGAAGACATGTTTGTGATCTTTGTCATTATGTTTTTTTATAACTTCATTTGGAAGCAGGCCACATGGCTTGTAAATTCTTTTAAATGTATGTCGTAGTTCAATTTTATCCTTAGTTCAAATTTTATTTTCCTTTGTTTCTAACTCATTATCATACATTAACATGACCGAGAACAAAGGAAAATAAAATTTGAACCAAGTATAAAATTAACTACAACATACACATTTAAAAGCTGTTACTTTTTGAGGACAAGTTCAGGGAAGAAGTTTTATTTTTGTCATCAGAACCAAACAAGTTCGACTCTTTCATTCTTGATTTAGCCCTGATACTTCTAAGTTAAAACCACGGATCTTGGCATCATGAATATATATTAATTTCTGTTGGGGGGCAGCATGTGAGGATGAGGTCATACAGCTTGTGGAGTGAGACAGGGGAGCGGGGTGGGGAAGTGAATGTATGTGACTGTGACTTATGGTGATGCCACATAAATGTCAACATTTAAATATAATTTATGTTTGTGCCCTACAGGACATTAACATCACAGCATGCACAAGTGGAAGAGGCCAGTTGGTTATTGGAGGCAAGTGATCTTTGTTTGACATTGAGCTCAAGTTTTATCATTACATTCTATTTAACAGATGTGAAAAGCATTCAAAAGCATAACTTTCAAACAAAAAGTGGCAGGGCCTGTTAATAAGTTTAAAAGTAGACGACATTTAATAAAAAAGTAGGCAGGTTGGTATCTTGGATGTCGTGTTGTTTCTTTAATCACACTGAAAACTAAGAAATTTAGTATTGAGAAAAATTATTTGTTTTTCCTGTTTGTATAATGTAGAAAATTAAAGTATTTGGATTTTGTCTTTTGGCAGATTCAGCTGGTTTTATTCACTTCCTGGGCCGTGATTTAACTATCACATCTTTCCAGGCTTACGAAATGCGTGTGTCACATTTTTACCAATTGAAACAGCAAAACATTTTATTTACTGTCGGAGTAAGTATTCAGTATTGATCAAAACAAATTAAGTGTGAAATAACTGCCTGTTACTTCTTAGAATGTTCATTGCCAACACCATCGGCAGGACTCAACACAAACGGTAGCCCACAAGCCCGCATAGACTAGTAGAAATTCAGGTTTGGCTGGTGGTTTTTGATCTCCATTAGCCCAGTTTGGCTAGTAAACAAAGTGAAACTGTTGTAACATCTAAGATGTCACTAGCTACTTGGTTAGTAAGTTGAAAAGTTAGTGTCGAACCCTGATCAGTCAACTTATATTTTAATACCAACATGGACTACAGCCCTGCATGTTTAGAAATGCAAGGCAATTGTTTCAAGCTTTTATAGTTTCCAGCCATAATGCATACTCATAAGACAAGCGCTGTGGTGTCAACAGTTTTGTAAATCATGTCATGATGTTATTATAGGAAGTGTCTTTATTAATTTCAATCTTTTACTTCCACAGGAAGATGAAGTGGAAGGAATTGATCCAATTATTAGAGTTTGGAATCTAGACAAGGTTTTTTTTTTTTTCTCATTTTTAAGTTACCTTATGACTTATACTGTAAATAATTACAATACATTCATACATGCTTAGGGTTCTAAGTTTTTTGTGGGCTCTTTTTCAAGGTTGGCATACTCATCTTATTTTAGAACACACTCTTATAGATTGTTGGGGAACTCATCTAAGTTTTGTAGCAAAGATTTCATGCATGTTAATGAAGTTACCCAAGTTCTTGGGGAACTCATGCAGCCAAGTTATTTAAGTGAACTCATCCCAGTTGTTTGCAAGTTTATCTAAGTTGTGACAAAACTCACTTAGATAAGTTGTTGGCAAACCTATCTAAGTAGTTTGGGACTTGTGTTAGTTGTTACAACCTTGCATGTATATATGGTGGGTTGATAGCATGTGTTAATACTCCCTATGATGTTGTGTCTTTTATTAACATCATCAATGATGTGTTCTCCTTTAGATTGACAAGTATGGAAACCCTGTTTGCTGTTGCATGCAGCGGCTTATTCCAGGAAACAAACCAGTCCCGGTACACTTTGTTTATCATTTTCATCATCTATTTTGACAGAGATTTTCATTTTCAATACAAAGTGCTTATAATCATGATAGAAATAGTGGAAATTGGTAAATTTATCCTGGGCAGGACTAGAAATCTAAACATAGACTTGTATATCCAGGTCTGAGTGAAGAATTTTGATCTGATTGGCAGGTGTCTTGTTTGGCACTGATGGAAAACTTGACACAGATGGCTGTAGGATTTGCTGATGGCACTGTTCTTGTGTATAAGGGAGATATTACCAGAGATAGGTGAGAAAGAAAATGTTATTACCTTAAAGGGGAACTGAAGCCTAAAATTGATCTTTTTTTTTGCTTTCATTTCTAGTTAGCTTTAGAGGGATAAGATAAAGCCTTGGTGGTTTAAATTTTCCTTTTTCCCACTCTTGAGGCTGTAAGACAGTAGGCTCAAAATGACCAGCAGCAGTCGAATATGACCTCAGTGATGGGGTCAACTAACTTGAGAAGGCCTCATATCATATTTGAAGACATTCTTGAATTTGATTACCATTACAAGCCATGCAACTTTAATGAGTCTATAACCATACTGAATTTCTGAAGGAAGAGTAGTGGGTTATTATCTTTCTTCCCCAACAGTGACATAATAGCAAGCTAAAATAACTGTTGACATCGCTTTTCTGAGTTGTCCTATTGTAACCAATTTATCGTGGTTTTTATTGTGGTTTCATTCACATAAAGCAACTTTTTCACAACAGTTATTTAAAGCAACTTGAAATTATATCATTGCCTTTCATCATTCTTTACTCTTTGAAGGCACACAAAACAGAGAATTGTTCATCACGACAAGCATCCTGTAACAGGTACAATGGGGACTCAAACATTAAAATTGCCTGAAAAATTAAATGACAAATATATTTTCTCGGATGGATAAATCAGTGAAAGCTATTAATAATAATTTGTTAAAAGAGACATCCTTTTATCAAAAGCTTCATATCACAGTGAAATGAATATCTAATATGATATGATATGATATAATGTTTATTCAAACCTTTTGCAGAGAGCTGAATTACAGGTTTGTTACAATGAGATGTTGTTAAGGTTGTGAACAGATGTCAGCATTTTCTCAGGCACCTCTGGCAGCTGCTTCAGTCCATATCAATCTCACCTTCCCACCCATCCCACCCCATCCCACCCCATGCATCCTACGCCATCCTATGCCATCCCACCTCACCCATCCTATGCCAACAATGTTTTGATAATCATTTGGTATCACAGCCAGAATAGAGTGTAGGTTTTAATTAAGGATGAGATTTCTTGTGTTTGTACACATCTTTGTCCTGGAGGACTGTATGAAGAGATTTCGCTTTATTTTCACCATATATTAGGGCTTGCTTTCAAACAGACAAGTGACAGTGTAATTCTGTTTGTTGTGACAACTGAAACAGTCCTCTCGTACAACACCTCAGCTAAAGATCGTAGAGTGAGTATTGGTCTTGGTCAGAAATTTTGCAATTTTGTGACACTGTGTCATCAATCTCTACAAGCTGCCGTGGACTTTCTAACTATGTGATGTGGATTTTTTATGTTTAAACAAAGTAGCCTAACATCTTAATACAGTTCATTGTACTGTTCAAATTGACATCTAATTGAATTTTATCCTGTGGAGTTGAATTTCAGCATCCCTACAGTGATCGTGTGTCCAGTAAAGATTTGCTTTATGTAACAATTATTAAGACTTTGTCAGGCATAGAGGCCTATTAATAGCATGTTTAACCAAGCTTTTGAAAGTCAAGATTAACAACACAAGAAGAATTGTTGTTTGGAAGAAGTATACTAATTTGTAGGGACATTGCATAGTTACGGCTGAGAAACAGGAAATATGTGGCCAACCTGTCCTTAAAATTATTTTCATATTTGAAAGTATGCCATATTGTTTATAAATATTTTTTATATTTTGATTTGATCATTTAAGAATTAAGTATTTTATTTATGAATCTACCCTTTAGGAAGTACTTGATGCTCATGGCTGTGAGCTCCGTTGCTCTGTAATGAGTGATGCTTCACAAGAAAACCAGTTCATTGTGGCTCGAAAAGAGGTCAGCCTTGTATAATTTTACTCAAATTAATTTAACTCCCCTTTTAGCATTCTCAACATATATTTTGATGCTTATACTCTTAAAAATTGAGAATTCAATTGACAATGATTTTTTCCCAGGCTCTGTATTTTTATCAAGTTGATGGCAGAGGTCCTTGCTTAGCATTTGAAGGTATTCATGATGTTATTGAGCTAACAAATGTAAATGTACTTTTATGCACTGTTGTGATCAGGTAATTCAATAAAAGCCAGTTGCTGATGACTTGTGGTCTTCTATAAGACCTTTTACTGCCGTCTGTTTGGACTGTGAGCTCGCTCTTGTGTTTGGGTTTTGCCTTATAACCCTTTTTCTCTCCACTTATGTCCAGAAATGCACACAGTATAGTGAAAATGGCAGATTTGACGAAATTTTGTCAAATCAAGAGCATGTTCATATGGAAATGACAATTTTGGCAAACTTTAGTTAAACTCGTTATAGCAAAATCAGCTTGAAGGAATTGATGATTTTGAAGAATATTATGTCAAATTCGTTAGTGTACCTTAGGAAAAATTTCTTAGCAGAATGGAAATTGCTAAAAGGTTTAAACTCACTAGCAGAGGGAGAATGCACATGCTGTTCGTTTGCCAAGAACCCCTCCTTTATTGCAGCTGACTTGGCTATTTTATAACTAATTTCAAGTAACTTTGGTCTTTCGAAAGACATTATTTTCTAATCAGTAACAAAGATTTGGCTGGAAAAAGAAATCCAAGTGGGCACTTTCAGTGGAAGTGTAGCCTAGAACTTTCATTCTAACTTCGCATGTGGCATAAAAATTTTCGATTATTTTTATTTTTTGTAGTGAAAAATTTTTCTCGCAGGTTACATTGATTTTGAATTAAAACTTTAGACCCTAAAAGTAATGAGCATCTGATTTTCCAAGCAGTATTACCCTTGAACAAACAATAAGGTTGAGAATTGAAAATAAAGGAAATGATCATGAACTTGATAACCTCTTGATTGTTAGACAAATCCTCCCAGTGAGTGCCATAGTACGGAGAACGTAGCTGTAAATGGTAAACAAGATATTAATAAGATATTATTTAGTTCTTATTAACCGAGCGGGAGGTCTGTATAGGAGAATCTTGACCAAGGTCGCCAGTACAGACTGAAGGCAGTGAGGTCTGTACCAGCGACCACGGTCGAGATTCTCCCATACTGACCAACCTAGCCACTCGGTTAATAAGATGTTTATTATATGGCTGTGTCTTATATGCCAATTTTTTATATTCTTTGTACCTTTTTTTTCTGGACCGATCTAGATGCCGGTCTGGATGGGAAAGTCTAGACCGCTTTCAATATTGATTTCAGCCAATCAAATTCGTGAATTCGGTTGTTCCCAGTCCTTGTGAGACACAGCCATATAATAATTA